ACAAAAGCAGTGCCGATACGCCCATTAAAAACACTGCATAAGAAGAGATCGCGAAACATTTCGTCTTTATCGGATGGATCTGTTTCAGATGAATGTTTTTCATTATGAAATTGACTAGAGTTCCAACAGCAAAGATCGTTGTAAATCCGTTGAAAGGTATTTTCGGAAAAATAAAAGGATTGAATATATGGACCGAAATGCTTCTTCTGATGATCATGAAGAGCTTGGCGTACTTCTTCATCCTAGAAAAATAATCGTATAGGTGAAAGATTCTCGTCTCCTAATACCTCAACAGTTGGTTCAAGCCAAGGTTGTGCCGAGTTCTTGCGAGAAAGTTTGTTCCAAGTGCAGAGAAATTTTAGGAAATTGCCCTTCGATGAAGAATCATTAGCGGCCCGTAGTTTCAGTGGGTTATAGTATCGACTTAGCATATAATCAACGAATTCCGGTCGATCTCCATCCGCTTCCTGTACGAGTCGAAACAAGCAATTGAACCACGTCTGAGTGCACTACATTATATGCGACTCTTTCCTATTGAATCAGTTTACATCGATGATTCTTACTTCGAAACAGCTGGAGATCACATGCTTTCTTCTATTGTTTTTGCAATCATCGATCTATAGAAACGCTACAATATATCTCTATCTAGCAAAAGACATTTCATTTACGAGGGTGGTTTCAAACAGTTCATGTACCCCATCTAAATAATTCCAATCGACAGCCATTTGTAGAAGACTTTGAATCCGCTTTGAAATCTGCTCATTAGACAACTCACCGTTGTTCTCCTTTTGTCTTTGCGAATTGCTCAAAGCCGCTTTAAAGACAGCTTCAGTTAGATTGTTATCGTATTGAAGATTTAATACATTTAAATTAGGTCGATACTCTGGTTTTAGTACTTCATTAATGTTCTTCATAAGTTCTTTGCGCTCTGCTGGATTTTCTGAATCGAGTGCTGGAAAGCGGCTCAATTGTTCTTGAATTTTGCTTTCGCTGCAATATAGTGGAAATTCTTTGTGAGCATCCTAAAAAATACAATCAGTCGACAATTTCTTTTACTCAATTGTCTCGTTTTGTTTAGCATCCTCAAGTAACGTCCCCAAAAGACTGGCCATTCTACCGCTACCATGGATGATGAGAACTGATCGTTCGTTTTCTAAATCATTCAAAATCACTTCCAATGTGTTAGGACCACCTTCAACAATGATTGTCACAGAATAGCATACGCCTTGATCACGTATTGCTGCAACGAAATCAGAACGACAATGATCAGTGAGATATTCCTCATTTCCATAGTCCAGTAGAATAAAATGCGTATGATATTTGTCGAGTGCATTTCCATTATCGCTGTCGAATGGCCATTGCCAACGTGCCTTGAACACTCTCTCCATATTCCATACAGTACCGTGCTAAATTATAAGAATGCATACAATCCAATGATTAATGATTATATTTAGATCAAGTAGTTTCTGTAACCTGTATGCTCAAATAGCCATGCATAGACTGTGACAGTGTTCCGTAACCTGTTAGTCCGATTAACGTTGCTCTTGTCTTGTCATCATTTAATACTCTGTGCCTATAAATTGCTCGACCGATGACCTTTGATACACCACTGTTGAGGCCAGTAGTTAGCATCAACACGCCTGAAATGCGCTCAAACAATATACGATGGTCATTTGCTACGTGGACTGAAATTCTTCAAACCTACCTTTTGTGGCTGCCAGTGTACCAATACCATTCATAAAATCATTTTCTAAAATTTCCGACATAGAAAAGAACCGAGCTCCACCGAAACAACTGACAATCAATTGAGGTTTATTCTTGGGATCATCGATGATCATTTGGGCTAGCGTTTCATATGTATTTTGCTTCACGCTACATCGAACGAACTAGAGAACGAAAAATTCACAATAGAACAAATAAGACATTTAGCACTTTCATACGATCAAAAACAATGGCTACATACTAGGCTACTATTGGGTAAACTTCCATAATCTTGTTCTGTTAACGGCCGATAATCATGAAAATTTTCTCTACCGTGTTCGTCAGGTCTCGATTGCGAATCTTTCTGTGGTGCCATAATAAACAATTCATTGTTTTTTACTGCTCTTTGTACTTGTCGAATCCATTTATCTCTAGCTCCGATAGGTAGAACAGTATCGAGAATGTTCTTCAGACAAGTACGCTTCGATTGTTGACTTTCATGGTCAATTTGATACTGTTCACTCTTTTTCATGGGAAACAACATCTGTGTCACACGAATCGCTGGGTTAAATTGAAATCTGAAATTGAATTTTAATCAAGTCTATCGCGACAAGCAATGGCGTCTTTAAAAAATAAGTAGAAAATTGTAAGAGAACACCTTTGAAGGCGTGATGGAGTATTTTTTTTTGTCTGAAGTCATTGACAGTCAACGAAGTTTTTTCTTTTTGTCTTTTGCGACTAATGCATCGTAATAAAAAAAATGGAAGAAAAAATTTCATGCTGGAAAAATCTAAGGCATTTCTGTTGATTAAGAGACGTATAATAAAATTTCATTTTAATTTTCACTCTTTCGCTTTCTTTTGATTCTTTTTAAAAAGAACCTTGAATGATGAAATTCATGATTTCAAGAGAACAATGAATTTGAATGTAAGGGTGGTTGAATGACTAAGCATGACTGATAGGTGAATAAAGGATTTCTGTTTCTTCACACACTGTGTCCACTCTCAAACTTCAGTATTGCCCATCAGGTTGTACAAATCGCAAGGTAGTGGGTGTGATGTGATTGTGAGTAAGCGTATTAGTATGGATGTCTCATGAGGGCAGAGTGAAGACTTACACTCATATATCGACAACCTATGATATTGTAGTAGTTGTGACAACTCAAGTAGTTCATTATGCAAAGTTCGTATCAGGATGGCTCTCTCTTTCTTGTTTGTAAATAGTATTTTTCGAATTCTTTTCGTATACAGAAACGTCAATTGGAACAGTGAGGAGGAGGAGAATAGAAGCCACTATTTTCAATTTTTCTTTTTTCCATTTCTTTATACAGCTGTTGCCATGTGCTGCTCCAACAATTTACCCGTTACACGGCAAGTTAATCTTTCAATGCAGTATTTCTCTATTGTTAATCTGTATTCGAATGTTTTGACGCCGAAAATAGACAATAACATCACTGCAAATAAACAACATTCTCTCGATCTATTCAGAACGAGTTTATCTTGACGGTTTGAAACAGTATTGTGTCTCGCATCAAACTGTTAGAGTTCTGCCTAATTGTTTCATAGCAGATACTGTCGAAAACGTTACGGCAGCTAACAAACTGAAAAATGATAGAAATATGTATAAAAGTCTACGCAGCACTTGAACTAGCTCACGAGGAAACTTCACCAAATTATACCTTACGTTTGAGCTCATATTTAACTTATTGGTAGGGCTCATGATGCAGATAAAAACCCTAAAAGGATTCGTGCCTTTGGGCTCTTCTTGTCGAGTTATGGTTGTTTGAATGAATTTCTAGGCTATGGCAAACTATTATGAAAAAAATCGAAACGGGGAATTTCGATCTGAGAATTTCCCCAATTATAGATATGACAGTGCTTTTATCTGATCCTGAAAGTTTCAACTCAAATAGATGGGTTTTTCTCAAGATACAGAAGATGTAAAAAATGGATTATTTGAGAACTTTTGTCAGAAAGTAGTGGCTTTTGCAAGTGTATTATCTCAGCAGAGAAACATCCAATTGATAAGATAAGCACTGTCCTATCTCTAATTGGGAAATTTTCAGACCAGAATTCCTTCTTTCGATTATTTTCATAACAGCCTGCCATAGCCTAGAAATTCAATTAAACAACCATAACTCAACAAGAAGAGCCTACGGGCACGAATCATTTTAGGTGTTTTTAATCTGCATCAAGAGCCCTACCAATGAGCAAAATATGAACTCAAACGGAGGCTATCAGCTGATGAGGTTTCCGCGTCACACAAAAATAGGCATGATCTATCTTACTTATCTCTGTACAGTTGATAGTAACTTCTACGCAGCATTAAATAGGAAGCTCTCAATCTTATCTGTCTCGCATAATCTAATGAATTACTTTGCGTCAATGATTATTAAAACCGACAAAAGTTACAATCATGAAATAGTAGATAGAGCACTTTATTTCATAAGTATTATATTGAAGACTGTCACTACTTCTGGATCACCTTTGAAATCTTTTTGCAGTCGCACACATCGTAGACTTACTATTTCAAGATATGAAGAGCAGCAATAATGAGGAAGAAAACATTAATAATGACGACAACGAAGATCACAAAGAAAAAATGCGCAATTTTTTAAAAATGTAATTGAAATGTCGCATCGTAAACGCTTCAAGACCAAACGAAACTTTTAATGTAATTTTTAAAGCAAGTTTTCGTCTGTTTTTTTTCTCCTCTCATTACACACGGAGTCTTTGCTCAAAATACACTTCAAGAGTTGCTTTCAGTTTCACAGAAAAACTCGGCATAAAAAATCAACAAACGCAGCACTTTATTGGCTGTCACTGTCAGATTTCCTTCACATTGTAAAAGCAACCGAATCAAGACTTAAGTAAACTGAAGCTGAATCAACATTTCTTGATCACGAAGGGTATGGTGTGGTGTAGTTAGTGTGAGTGTAGATTCGGTGTTGGTGTGGGTATCTACGTTTGGTATTGGTGTGGGTATACGTTGGGTGTTGGAGTGGGTGGGCGGATATGGGTGTGAGTGCGGGGGTGTTGGCACGGGAATGGTTCCGGATCTGAGTGTAGGTATGAATGTGTGGGGTGTGGGGCGTGGGACTGGGTCTAAAGAAAAAATGGATAATCACACTCACACTCACCCACACCCACACCCACACCCACACCCACACCCACACCCACACCCACACCCACACCCACACCCCACCCTATTGTGGTTGTAGTGGTCCAAGAGGTCAACAATGTCAGAACAGTCCAAAACATATTCGATGTTGTTTGGATACATGTTCACAAGAATTAAAAATGGATTTAGGCTTTGTTCTTGATGCTAGTGGCAGCGTTGGCTCCGCTAACTTTGGACTACAGCTACAATTTACAAAAGATTTACTTCGTCGAGTCAATGTTGCTCCGAATAAAACTCATGTTGGTATTATTAACTATTCTGACTCTCCTCAAACGTTGACATGGTTGAATACAGATTATACTCTCGCACAAAAACTTGAACGAGTTAATGCGGCGATATATTATTCCAGTGGTACAAATACTGCTGGTGCTCTTCAACAAGCCAATGTGGTATTTTCATATGAACGTGGTCGTCGACAGTCAGCAGAAGGTGTAACACCGGTGATATTTATAATCACAGATGGAGCAAGTAATAATGTAGAAGCAACAATTCGAGCTGCGAATGTTTTAAAAGAAAACGATATCATTTTGGTGAGTGTCGGCGTCGGTACGGGACCCAATATAAATGAATTACATGCTATCTGTACGCCGCCGGCAAGCGAAAACTATTTTGCCATGTCGAATTATAATGCTCTTGAACAAAAGCTAAACCAGTTCACATCCAGATCATGTTCAGAACCAGCAACTGTTTCATCGAATACAACTGTCACGATTGAAATTAGTAAGGACAAATATAAATTTCTAAAAGTTGAAATTGTTACTATTGGTAACAAAATTTTGATTACTGTTACACTTTTCAATGGTAATGTGAACTTGTTTTATTCATTTACAAATAGAAATCCAAAAGATCCAGCTGATTTTATTGATTATCAGACAAGAGCAAATGATGTTGATCCATCACTTTGGACACAATTCAAGTCCTATTTTCGGTGATCACCAAAGGAAACAGACGCAGCTAAAAATGGTCAAGTAACATTAGTCATTGATAAACCAGATGACAATGTAGATTTTGCCTATATCGGTATCAAAGGCCTCGGTGAAGACAATAAATTTGAAATAAAATTTGATGATTGTGCCAAAGTGAATTGTAAGTCCAACGCATCAACAATCAAACTAAGTTTTCTTTTGATGATCCTATCTGGTCTTTTTCTTCGTTGAAAGATTATGCAGTAAATAAAAGTCTTCTGTTGCTGTAGTATGTGTATTTCCAAATAAATTTTCTTCCCTTTCAAGAAAGTCTTCGTAATTTCAAGTGCATTCACGTCATATACAATGTCGATCTGAATTTGAGAACAGAAGCTTTCGAAGAAGTAGCCTATCATTGTTGCCTGAAAACTGAAAATGTTCTTTGAGTAATCAGGAACGAAGAACATTTGAACATTCGTATCGATTTGACGTATTTCCTTAACTGCTTTTCGTTTATCGGAAGTGATATCAAGGCAAACAATAATAAAACCTTCTGTATTATGTCTTTAATTATTAGACATTTTTCATGTACTCACGATGGTATTATCAATGGAATCGAAACTTGTGTTGCACGATATTTTATCGTGTAAGAAATATACTGAAGATTCTTTCTATGTTTCTTTGCGACCTCGCATTGGATGACGATTCAAACAGAGAGCTTAAATTAAAATTCTTATAATAATAGAAAGATTATTTTAATCATTGAATAAATTAGCAATGAAATCAACATTTTATGAAAAACCTTTTTATAAGATGAACGGCAAGATTCCAGATTGCAGAAACTTTTTTCTGCTATACGAATAGTTAACATTTTACAATATCCCAGTCAAGAATATACTTGACATAGCGATAATTAAATCACACCTGAATGTAGATTCTTAAATCAAGCGACCTACACTGATCTTCTTACTATATCTATTTTTGCATGTTTCCAGAATGCAGTCATTTTTTTCCTTTCAAGTCAAAAAAAGTTTCTGCAATAAAGAAGACACGAAATGAATGAATGATTCACACCATTTGCTGGTCATTGATAATATAAAAAAATTTAGTCAAATCAGCATTTTGCTTCTGTAACGATTTACTTTCTATTAATCGTTTTGTGAAGAAGAAAAAGACAAAGAGCGATGGCTGTTCAACTATTTGATGAATGTTCAATTTATCCCATTCCAGTAACTTTCATCATAACTTTACTATAATTTAATTTAACATTCATCTATTTTGACTTTATCTTTCTGACGTTTTGGAATTGATGTCACCATGTTATCTCATATTCTTTTGATCGATGCTAAAAATTGTTCCTTTTGAAATAAATCGATCGAAATGTAGATATTTAGATATGGTGACTTTACTTTTTTTTTGTAGAACATCAATCTTCCAAACAATTCATAGCACATGTTTGTTCATTTCTTTTCTTCAAAATAATCAAAAGACAGTACATTGCACACTCGCGTGTAGAACAACTACGTATTCATTTAAAAATATTATCTATTAAGCTAATACTCTAATATATGTATATAGTTTGCTGTGTACACTATCCTTGGATTTTTATCCAGTTCTGAAGCAGTACCAATAGTTTATTGAAAAATAATAATGTGAAATGAAAGCTAAAAAAATTGATGATCAAAGATACTATCATTCAACAATATATGACTCCTCATTCATTGATAAATGTTTTTAAATAATATCTTATCCAAAAAACAATATGTTGTTTCTTTTTTTTCCATATACCAGTGCCTAAATATTAATCTTTAAAAATCGTGTCATATTCACGCTAATATATTTTTTAATCTTTACCAATCATAGATCATATGTGTTAGATTGTATTTCATTTTTTTCTCTGTCGAAAACTTAATTTCATCAGTATTTTGTATCATATTTTAATTTGAAAATAATGAAAAGAAAAGTCCACCTGATTCATTTTTATTGTCATCAGGTGGATATATTAATGATTTGTTAAAACGAACGATCACATTTATCTTTTGTTTTCAATTTGAGAGCAGGAAAAAAAACAAATATTTTTCTACTGATCACTTCTATCCTTTTTTTTTTCATTTGAAGATAGACATACAATGGCAACAGTTAGCTTGTTTCGAATTTCAACTTCTTTGTGTTTGATAATTTTGATCATTCGATTAAATGATGCTAAAGTTGGAAACGAAAAACGTAAGTATTTAAGAAAGTGTCCTATTAGACAATCATCAAAGCCAACTGCCACTAAATTTCTTTTTGACTTATTTTCCTCAAATGAGAGATCATATCGTAAAACTACAAAATTCAAAAACGAAATAGCTTTTTTACATTTTGTTTGTTTTGTAAGATTTTCTTCGCCTTCGTCGATTGCTTTGAGTTGTGAAAGATTTCAAAACATACAGAAAAGAATTATCTATAAAACAGATCATATCGGTAGTTGTTACAATTATTTTTAGTAACGGAGCATGGTTCTACAAGGAAGTGTAATATCTGATGCGATATAGATTTTTACGTTGATTTCGTATAAGCTATACATGTTGCTCTAACAATCCAACAAAATATGGAAACAGCTACTATTTTTGGAACTTTTATGTTCTTTTTACGTTTATTTAGACTATATGGATAAAATGTGTGGAAATGATCATTTTATTTTCGATGGTGATCGTGTACCGGGTATTTCATTACAATTAACAAGCAACAGTAAATACAAACCAAATTTTAATTGCACCGTCAGATTTCGAACAGCTCAACCAAGTCAACGATTGATTATTACAATGGAAAAAATGGATATAACTGATTGTCCAGGTGATTCATTACGTATCTATGATGGTACAACATTACTTAATAAAGATTCTAAACAACAATGTGGTTCACCTGACTTATTTACTTTTACAGTATGAAATTTATTAAGATTTCAATTTAAAAAATGACTTTCTTATTATTTAGACTTCAACATCACAAGTATCAATGACATTTACAAGTAATTCAGCTGTTGAATCATCTGGATTTCAAGCTGCTATTGCACTTCATTTTCCAAGTATGATTCTATTAGTATAACTGATTATTTGATGATTGCTTTTGAATTTAGTGATTGCTGCATGTCCTCAAAGTCTTGGCTTTTTTCAATGTAAAAATAAGAATTGTATTTCAAAACAACTTCAATGCGATGGACGAAATCATTGTGGTGATCGAACAGATGAAAATCAATGTAGCATTCTTTCTGGTTAACATATTTTTTCAAAAATCTATCTCTATAATCAATAGCAATCAAAAAAGAAAAAGAAAAAGAAAAAAAAAATGCTTTTATAGTTCAACATAATTTGTTTTTTTTTTTCTATTCATAACAAAAACAAAAAAGAAAATATAAATGATCTAATTCATAACTAAATATATAATTTATTTTGGTTCTTCACCAACATCAATTAAAAAATGAGTATAAAGATGATAAAAAGTTGTATTTAATAAATTATATTTGACATTATTAAGACCATCTGAATCAATACGACTTTGTGCTGTACGTAAAACTTTCATACGAGCAGGATTTAATTTTTGATGAGTATGTTTTAACATTTTATAACGTGCAATAGATGCTGGTGGACGTTCAACTTTTAAATTTTTACTAATAATACGTGCATGCATATCATCATCTTCACCACCCCAACCCCAATAATTTGTTGAATAACCATTCACAAGTAAATAATGTTCACGACGCATAGCTAAAAAGAAATATTTAATTTTGTAATTTATTTTTAATCAAAAAATCAGAAAGATTTCTTTTTTCTTTTGTGCTAATACAAGTTCATTCAAAATTTGTTTTTCATACGAATAACGAAAACAAATACTACTAGAGAATTTGATCTTTGATCAAATAAGACAAATAAACATGTACTGCTTCAAGATAATTACCAATTATTATCGAGGAGAATAAAATAAAAACTTGATACATATCAAATACAAAGTCAACAGTTGCAATATTTCGAATTTTTGATGCATAAAACATTAGTTATTGCAAGGAAGTTAGCAATTTACTGCTAAAATGAGCTTGAATTGTGAATATTAGTGATTATCCTTTGTTTTAATTTTTCTTTTGATTCTCTCTTGGTGGTAATCGAAAATTACTTTGTCACACTACACAATATACTTTTCTTACATGCCAACATGTTAACAGTAGTACTGAATAATAGTATATTATTCGTATTAAAGCAAACTTTGAATAAACTCGCATGACTAAGCATAAAATCAATTCATTCAAATGAACTGGAGTGTACATATTTGAGTTGTTTGTCGCAGTTTTATTTATAATCTACCTTATATTCAGTGTAAATATTCTTTCAGTGTTTATTGTTTTTTGTTACATGTAAAAATGTGACTAGAAAACGAACGTTACTTTTATCAGAAAAATGATAGATCAGTGTAATGCACAAAAGATTACTATTGAATAATAAAAAAAACACTTGGAATTATTTTACATATAATAACAAATGAATTTTTAATGAATTATTGACTTTAAATCTCAATACACAGTAAGATTCTTTTTTCCGAGAAATTAAATTATAGATATAAATAAATTCTATATATATTTTTGTTATATTCGAAAAATAAACTTACGAAACATTTATTATAAGTCAAATTACAGAGAAATTTGTTCAAGACAATAAATTTTTATCGCAATTCTTCAATTATGAAAACAAAAACTTATTAAATTTTTATATTGAAAATTGAAATTAATATATATATATATATTTAAGTTAAGATAAAAGAGAAAAAATAATCTGTTGCGTGTATTATAATTGCATCATATATAATTAATAAATATTCTATCATTAAAAACTTAAATCAAATGAATTCTTCTTACCTAAAACACCTCCAACAAGTTGTGCATAAGGTAAATAAAAATGAAATTTATCAATAGCAACACTTAAATGACGTGGATATCTTGGACATGTATACATATTACGATCATCAATTAATAATAAATCAACATCATGCATTATAAAACAAGGTGTATTTGGTTCAAGTTTTAAAATTTCTTTAAAACAACCATTCATAACAATACCTTTATTAAATGTATTATTAAATGCTTGTTCACATACATATATTCGATAATCTAATTGTTGTCGTTGTAAAATTTGATGTGTATGAAAAAGAAAATGATTAAGAATATTCCAACGATCACGATATGGTACAATAATAGCTATTTTATGACGAGCTAAACAATTATTTGGTTGATAATAACCACCTAATTGAACATTATTATAATATGATGAATTCATAGTAATAGAAAAATTTTTTGGTATTTCATGAATTTTTAAAGGACCTTGAAGATTAGGTGGTATAGGTGAACAATAATTTAATGATAAATTTCGATTTTCTATTTTAGAAAAATAATTCTTTATAGATGAATGCATAAATATTTTATATGTTTCTTCAAAATAATCATATTTTTTTTGTAATATTTCTTCTGAATGATTAGTTCTATTATTATATTGAATATATGATGTAGATGTTTGGATATATTGATTCGTTTTATTTAATAATGAACGTTGAATAATATAAATTATATTAACAATACTTGTAAGAAACATAAGACTACTACATATAATACATAATAGATAAATATGATCTTGTCGATGATAAATAATCATAATTTTTTTTTTAAATAATCAATTGTAGTATTATTTTGAGATTATCATTCATGTATCTATGTAAAAAAAGAGAAGAAAAGAAAAAAAGGAAATAATAAGCGAAGGATGTATGACAATTTGACAAGCATGGAAGGTTTTTCTTAACGAATGAAGAAAACAAGCTATAGAGATGCACGCTCAAACACACACACACACACACACAAAATGAAACAATCCATCGAGCTTTCTTTTTTTCCGACTATTAACTATCGGTCTGATGCGTTAAAACTAACATTTCTGTCGTAGCTCAATTTTTTTTTCTCGTTTACTAGTTACATACTACTATTCTGTTGTGCGTGTCTCATAAAGTTTGTCCTTAAGGAATATATAAAGAGAGAAAAAAAAAGGACGTAAGAAAGAAATAGGATTAAAGAAGAATCTCTTAACAAGTCTTTAATAATGCACAAAATAATAGAAGTAAATATCTTATGTTTTACTAATATAATAATATATATCGTTTGTTATTACTACTTATGCAAGACTTGTTTTTTCAAAAACAAAAGATGATATATTTCTAATAATAGAATAGATATAAATGAGATGATGAGTTAAATCAATACGATGTCTTAGCTAATAACATTCTTTTCGATTATATTTCATCAATTGTTAACTTCTCAAATAAGATAAATATAAATGTAAAATCTTATTTATAATTAAGTCTCAAGAGGTTACTTAAAATTTATTCAATGAACACAAAATTTTGTAAATTGAAAAGAAAGAAAGAAAATGAACATATAATAAAAAAGAAATGAACGTTTTTTTTTTTTTTCTTTTTCTCATCAATTTTACCGATCTTTCAACATTCTATGACGTCTTATTATAATATTTACAAGGGTTCAAAAGTAAATATATGCATTGATTAATATGCTTCGTTCAGACAATATAAAATATTTCTATTGATGTTAGAATCTTGCTGCGTCACAAGACATATATACGATGACAATAATACAACAAATGGGAAAGAGGAGAAGGTGAATTAAAGAATGCAAAAAGAAAAAGAGAAGAAGACGAGGATTCTTATTTCATCAGGCAGACATTTGTTTAAATCATATATATATATATAAATAGAGTTATATCATTTATGTCTAAGTGTGCATACGAAAGGTTGTTTTTATTTTCATTTCAACAATAGAAAGAATGACGTCAAGTATATTCAGGCACAACACTCAAAATAATGTCAAGCATTGCAAACACAATAAAGTCAGTTATTTTTTTGTACCCTATTGATAAAAAAAAAAAAAAAGATTTCCCAATACACAGACGTATAAGTAAACACAATATATTAAATCGCAGAAAATTTATGACATGTACATAATGATTATTATTTTAAATAAACGTGTTTTTATAAAATAAATGATTCAATAAATTATATTGGATTTTGTTATTTATTATGAAAATAATGATTGAGCATAATAAATCAAAAGACAATATAGAACATAGACAAATTTTAATATATAATTCTTTTAAAGATACCATTATATTCCAATCATAATTTATCCCAAATGACTAAATAGATTTTGTTGTTTGTTTTGCAATATCATGCACCTATTTCAAAAACAAATAATGATTTGACTAGTCTATAACGTTGTCTATTAAATACATTTTACAGTATATTACGAAAGTCTAACGGGAATATTTTACGTAAATATTTCTTTTCTTTTTTTTTAACATAATATTATAGTATATTCTTTGAAATTTTCTTCTGTATTCATTTTACATTAGAATAGAAATAAATTTGTTAATGGTCATCTATTATAATGAAAAGAAAATTACAAATGAAATTTGACATGAACTGTATTAAAGATGTATTTCAATGCTTTTACAAAATCAGTATAGTAGTAAATAGATAACAATCTCAAAAAACGATTCAAAATTACACAAGAGAAAATCAACGAAAATCTATAATGTTTGTAAAAATGTATCACTACTAAATGTTCAATATGTTGTATTAACAACCGGCTACATAACAATTTCTCATGAAGAACATTGACAAGATCGAGTTGAAATAATATCAATTTGTTATTTACAAAAACTTTATTTTTTAAAAGATTTCAAAATCGAATTGTTTTATATATTTCAGATGATGATAATCATTTTAAATATGTATATTAAAATTTCACTGATGAGCGATAATTAACAATAGTCTACATTCATAGAAAGATTAACTCTTACCAATACACTCATCAGATCCAGACTCGCATTTCTTTTCTTTTATTCATATTGATGAGTTTAATTAATCCAATAATATAGGAGTAGAACATTTAATCAAAGTTTGATAGAATAATTAAGTTAACATGCATACTGTAGGAAAAAAACTCATTTTGCGTGTACGTGTCATGCGTTGAAGTGTTATGTCACGTTTAAAGACACACAAAATTCTGAACAAAATGAATGATTGGCACATATTCTATGATTATTCTTAAAATATGACTGACATTAAAAAATAACGAGGAAACAAAAAGACGTGCCATTTTATTCGATTTTCTTAGCAAGTTACTAACTTTTTTGTGAAATACAATCTAAAAGTCATGTTGAACTAGATAA